TCCGCCCTCGTTTCTACACTCTTATTATAATTTGTGATTTGAATAAAAGTATATTAAACAATCCGCGAGTGACCATTAACGAAATTACCGCCTTGGCGTGCGAACCTTCTATACAAGGTTTTACCAACGAGAAACAAACATTTTGGTCCTTCGAGCCGGATCGTCGCCAAGGACAATTATTGGCATTCCGAATCACGATCGTCGATATGAACACCTCGACATCTTTCGAAGAGCTTTTGGCTCTGCAAACACAGAAGATGATTTCGTATCACGGGCGCTCATCAATTACAAGAAGCTGGGGCAAGCCAAATGACACCTGCGGTGACACGTCAACGTCTCGTCACCTTGAAGGAAGCCTTTGCCACTTGCCAGAAGCTCGACAGTCGAATCGGGCTTCATGCGGACGATGACGACAAAGCATCGCATACCTACTTCACAAAGAATTCGTTTCTGGAATGTGAGGACTGCTACAACGAGGCTGCCGACTACATGGCTGAGGTATTAGAGAGCTACGAATCCCGCATCCCTCCCGCTACATCATCACAAAACGTAAGTGGCTTGCATGATGTTTTCCGACCCGCGTCGCATCTTCCGAGGATCAACCTACCGACCTTCGACGGGAGCATCGACAAGTGGGAAAGCTTTCGCGATAAATTCCAGTCGATGATTCATAATGATCATAGTTTATCAAATGTCGATCGCTTACATTATTTGTGCTCATGTGTAAAAGGGGATGCAAGTAACGCGCTGACCACCTCGCGGTAACCAATAATAATTTCGACGTCGCGTGGAGAATTCTAGTCTCTCGGTACGACAACAAACGTCGTCTTGTTACAACGCATTTACAATCGCTGTTAAATTTGCCGTTACTGACCACAGAAACCGCTCATGACCTTCGTCAGCTTCGCGACCAAACAAACAAAGCAATCCAAGCGCTTAGAAATCTCAACCGTCCTGTCGAACATTGGGATGATTTGCTTGTTTTGCTCGTCGCACAAAAACTCGATAAATACTCGCGTAAAGCTTGGGAACTCAAGCTCGGCGATACGGTGGAATATCCGCGTTATAATGAGCTCGATCAATTTCTTGAGTCTCGAATTCGCGCTCTCTCGAGGCGATCGTACCACTTTCTAAAGAAAACCATCCTCTACCTCTAAAGGAAAATTCTTGTGTCGCATACCGCGTCCACCGTTTCGTTCGCATGTCCGTTTGCAAGGCAATCACTTATTATACCAATGTTCGACATTTTTAAAGCAAACACCCTCTCAACGTTTCGATTTTATTAAGCAGCGAAAACGATGTTTAAACTGTTTTAGTAGTAAGCATTCCGTCAAAGATTGTTCGAATTCGCGCGTATGCCGCCAGTGTAATAAACGTCATCACACGTTATTACATTTCGATAATTCGACTCCGCCGGTGCAAACGGAGTCACCGCCAGCAACAAGCGCAAATGTAAACGAAGTCATGTCGCATTTACTATCGAAAACCGTCGCGCCTAATCTAATATTTTGGCTTGCGACTGCCCGGGTGAGAGTCTATTCGCCTGTTGGACGTTTTATAACTGCACGCGCACTTCTGGATCAAGGTTCCGTTTCTACGTTTATTACCGAATCGCTCGCGCAACGTTTACGACTCTCTAAAATAAATCGTTCAATGTTCGTCACCGGCATCAGCGAGATGCAATCCGTTGTCCGTCACGCCGCTCATCTTACAATTACGCCGGCGAATCGCGACGAACCCGCTTATTCAACGACCGCACTCATTCTTCGATCGTTGACAAAATATGTACCGAATCGAATAAGCACGACGGGTACGTGGAACCATGTCGACGGACTCCAATTAGCGGATAGTGACCCCATGAGTACCGACCCGATTGATATGATAATCGGAGCGGATTTATACGGCATGCTCGTACTCGATGGTGTTCGACAAGGTTCCGAAACGGAGCCCACCGCGCAAAATACTACTCTCGGTTGGATTTTGTCCGGGCCAATCGCTTCGTCCCCGACCAATCTTTCGATTTTTGAGACCGCGCATCACGGAGTCGTCCTTGAAGCGTTAGATTTCGACCTTCGTCGTTTCTGGGAGACTGAAGAGGTCCCTCAGACCCAACATCATAGCCCTGACGAGCGCAAGTGTGAAGAGCACTTTCTCGCTACCCATTCCCGCACTCCTCAAGGACGCTATATTGTTAGATTACCGTTTAAAACCGGACCACCACTCTCGTTAGGAGAATCTCGCTTCATTGCCGAATCGAGCCTCTATCGCTTAGAGCGACGTTTCAAACGCAATCCATCTATCGCTTCAGAATACCACGACTTTCTCAAGGAATACGAAAACCTTGGTCATATGATCAAAATTCCACCGACAGAAATTGTCCAACCGGATCAAAGTTATTACATACCGCATCATGCTGTCTTACGTGACAGTAGTGCAACTACTCGACTGCGTTGTTTTTAATGCATCCTGCCGTACCACTAACGGAACCTCGTTAAACGATAATATGTTATCGGACCTAAACTTCAAAAGGATTTGGCCGCTGTCATAATGCAGTGGCGCCAATATCGTTACGTATTTACCGCCGATATCGCCAAAATGTATCGTCAAATTTTAGTTGACTTCCGCGATACTGATTACCAGCGCATTCTATGGCGCTCTCTCTCCCAGCGAACCTGTTCGCGACTACCGTCTTCTTACCGTGACGTACGGCACTGCCGCCGCTCCGTATCTCGCTCTTCGAGTGCTAGACCAACTCGCTGAAGATGACGGTGCTCAATTTCCGTTGGCCGTCCCTGTTCTACGTCATCAAACATACGTTGATGATTGCGCGTTCGGCCGACGATCATATCCTTGCACGGCAAACACGAGACCAATTAATCGCGCTTCTCGCTAAAGGAGGCTTTCGCCTACGAAAGTGGGCAAGTAATTCTCCAGATCTTTTGTCAGACCTCGATCCTGCCGATCATGGACTAGCCACTCACAAAGTCCTCCAAGACGATGAACACCTTAAAGTGTTAGGAGTTAGTTGGAATCCAAAGCTCGATGCGTTTCAACTTCGCGTATCTCTCCCGTCTTCGCCGGGAAAAACGAAAAGAGCTATTCTCTCGACAATCGCTGGGTTTTTCGATCCGATGGGATGGGCCGCTCCCGTCATCATCGGTGCAAAGATCTTTATGCAACGATTGTGGTCGATCCAATGTCAGTGGGACGACGACATTCCGGGTGAACATTTCGACCACTGGGCAACTTATCATCACCAACTACCGCATCTCGAGACGCTCAGTATTCCGCGTTGGACGACGCACGGATCTCATACTCTGCACAGCGCACTCCATGGCTTTTCCGATGCCTCAACTATGGCTTTCGCAGCCGTTGTTTACCTTCGCTTTGTTAATGTCGACGGCTCAATTAACATCTCTCTTCTCATCGCAAAATCGAAAGTGGCTCCCCTCAAGACGATAAGCGTTCCCCGATTGGAATTGTCGGCGGCGCTCCTTCTCGCTCGGTTAGTTAATTATGTGCGGTCCGCTCTTCAACTTCCGAGTATCGAATGTCACTGTTGGACCGACTCAACCATCACACTCGCTTGGCTAAGTCAGTCTCCATCTCGATGGAAACTTTCGTTGCCAATCGCGTTTCGATCATTCAGTCCTTGCTGCCTGAAGTTTCTTGGCGTCATGTTCCAACGCAGGACAATCCTGCCGATTGTGCTTCTCGCGGTCTAGCTCCCCATGCTCTCGCAAATTATAATTTATGGTGGTCAGGTCCTTCATGGCTTTGCCAATCTCCAGAATCCTGGCCGACTTGCGAGCTCTCGATACCAGCCGAGACCGCCCTTGAACAGCGTTCTCAACCACCTATTCATTCTTTACATGTAACCCCTAGTTGGGATCTCGCATCACGTTATTCTTCGTGGCCTCGATTGCTCCGAATTACCGCTTATCTTTACCGTTTTCTTTATCGACTCCGATCCTCTAAAAGCGCATCGTCTTCACAAGCGATCCTCCATCCCGAAGAGATCCAGAAAGCCAAACATTACTGGCTCCGAGTTATGCAATCCGAGATGTTTTCCGTTGAAATCTCGACTTTACAACGGCAACTTCCGTTACAAAAACTAGTTCCTTATCCACACTCAATCCTTATTTAGACGCTGACGGACTTCTTCGCATCAGAGGACGGCTCCGTCATGCTTGCCTTTCAGAAACGACGAAGAATCCGCTCGTATTACGAGCACATCCATTGCTAGTTCTTATTATTCAGCATCATCATCTCAGAACGTTACATGCTGGTCCCCAATTAACACTCGCTTCATTACGTAATGAATTTTGGATCCTCCGATCTCGCGCTACCGTTCGTGCTGTTCTGTATCAGTGCGTACAATGCACTCGTGAGCGCGCTAAAAAACCTGTCGAACTCATGGGCGATCTACCGGAGGCGAGAGTTAACCGTGCCGCTCGCGCATTTATACATACTGGCGTTGATTACGCTGGACCAATCACTGTCCGAACCGCGCCCGGCCGAGGACACAAATCGCAAAAGGCTTACATTGCGCTGTTCATATGTTTAACGACCAAGGCTATGCATTTAGAACTTGTTTCCGATTACAGCTCGCCGACCTTATTGCAGCGTACCAGCGATTTGTCTCCCGCCGAGGACTACCGCAGTCCATGTACTCAGACAACGGTACAACCTTTCATGGCGCTAATCGAGAATTATCCGAAGCTCACGCGAAAGCAATTCGCGATCCAAGCTTTCGTAATCGTCTCGCTAGCGATGGAACTGCGTGGCAGTTCCTACCCCCGGCCGCACCACATTTCGGCGGACTGTGGGAAGCCGGGGTCAAGAGCGTCAAATACCACATAAAGCGTTGCATCGGCCTCCATACATTAACTTTTGAAGAAATGACCACGTTTCTTTGTCGCATTGAAGCTTGCTTAAACTCTCGTCCAATCGCTCCCGTCTCCGATAATCCTGACTGTAGTATCCTTTTATATAGGTATATGTACGTCTTTATTGCTTACTCTTACACGATATAATACAGAGAGAGTTGTATGCTTTTGCGCGTGTCCGTCTCGTAGCCATGCTAGCTTACTTCTGCCGCGTGTACCTCTACGCGTGCGCCTTACGCTTCTCGCTCAGTAGCGTATCTATACACTACATCTCTTCTCTTCCTTAAAATGCTAACCGCTTACAGTATATGTTTCTTACATCTAATTATCATCTATGGAGTATGCCCTATAATTGCCATAACGCTCCGGCTGTTTTCTTTCGCGCTGTGATCTTCTTACGCTTTCTGATTCATCGCTTTCTGTTCTTTCCTGATCCCTTTCTATTCTTTCCTTTTCTTTATCCTCCACCACTCCTTTCTCGCTTTCTGATTCCTCGCTTTCTAAATCTATGACTTTTCTTACTTGTGTTAAGTTTCTTTTATACTTTTTTCCTTCCCCTGACTGTAGTGTTACTGAATTTCCTTTTCGTTCTATTACTTTATATTCTTCCGGACTAAAATTTGGACTTAGTTTATTTTCCTTTGGTGCCCTAACTAATACACGATCTCCTTGACCTAAATCACATTCTTTGGCTCTATTTACTTTGTCATAATATTGTTTTCCTTTTTCTTTTAACCAACTATCGCGTTCTCTAATTTCTGCTTCTACAAATTCACTCTTATCGTTAATTTCCGGAATTTTCGTTCTTAGCTTTCTTTTAAACAATAGTTCTGCGGGGGATATTCCTGTAACTGTGTGTGGTGTTGACCGATACATCAATAAAATGTTAATAGTTCGTTACGTACGCCAATTTTTTCTCTCCGCATGCGCTATTTTTAGTCTTTTTAAGATACTTTTATTCTGCCTTTCAACTTCCCCGTTCGCTTGCGGCCAATATGGTGCTACGTGTGTGACTTTTACTCCGCAAGAACTTAGCCATTCTTTTAATTTGTCGTCTGTAAATTGGCGACCATTATCGCACACGATTATCTTTGGTAATCCGTGTCTCGCAAACAATTCGAATAATTCTCCTTGTATTACTTTCGCCGATATATTTTTTAAATTGCTACTTCTATGTATCGGCTATAATAATCGGTAGTTACTAACAAATGTTCTCCTGTCGGGAAGGGACCCATTAAATCTATCGCAATTGTTTCCCATGCTTTTTCCGGTAACTGATTCCGTTTAACTGGTGGTGGTTCCATCGGACGCTGTACTAACTGACAGCCTTTACACGATTTAACAAATTTCTCAGCGTCTTTATCAATGCCTTCCCACCAAACTTTACTTCGTAACCGTTGTTTCATCGCGACAATTCCTGGGTGTCCTTCGTGTGCTAACGCTAACGTTTTTCTCCGCAACGTTTCGGGTATAACTATGCGTGTATTTCTTAATAATACATTGTTGTAAATACATAATTCCTCTTTTATTATTTTATACCGCGAATTTTTCAGTGCCTTCCAATCTTCTGTCTGTAACGCTAATTTTACTTCCCTAATCTTTTTATCCTCTTTCGATGCTATCGCGATTTCTTTTAATGACATTGCTTTTGGTACCGATTCCGTTGCTATCCATTGAATGTACTGGATGTCCTCTTCAAATTCTTTTTTTCGGTTCTCATTTCCACAGAGTCTTGACAGTATATCTGCTATATTAGATTTTCCTTTTTCATATATAACCTTATATTTAAATGGTAACAACCTTAAAACCCATCTTTCTATCCTCGCGTTCGGTTTTGCTCGCGGTGCAAATATATATTCTAACGCTTTGTGGTCTGTCACTAATTCAAATTCTATTCCATACAACCAGTTATAAAATCTTTCACATGCGAATACTAATGCTAACGCTTCTTTTTCCGTTTGAGAATATCGTTTTTCGCAATCCGACAAACTTCTACTCGCGTAGCTAATTACCCGCCATTGATTTCTGTCATCTTGTTGGGTTACTACGCACCCTAAACCTACTGGGCTTGCATCCGCTATTATCCTTGTTTTCGCATTTATATCAAAAATTCCCAACGTTTGCGCACTTGTTAAACCCCCTTTTTAAAATTTTAAATGCTCTTTCTTGTTCTTTTTCCCATACAAATCTTACTCCTTTTCTTGTTAATCTTCTTAGAGGCTCACTTATTGTTGCTAAATTAGGAATGAATGCCGCACAGAAATTTACTAGTCCTAGAAAACTACGTATTTCCTCCGCTGTTTTAGGTATTCTAAACTTTTCTACTGCTTCTACTTTAGATTCTAACGGTTGATATCCATTTCCCGAAATTTTAAATCCCATAAATTTTATCTCCTTTTGTCTAAACACACATTTACTTTTATTTAAAGTTATTCCTTTCTCCTTTAGCGTTTCTAAAACTTTTCTTAATCTTCTATCATGTTCTTCCTGTGTCTTTCCACAAACGATTATATCATCCATAAAGTTTATTGTTCCTTTACAATCTCTTAATATTGATTTAACAATTCTCTGAAAAATTTCTGGAGCGCAGCTTATTCCGAACATTAATCTTTTATATCTATATAGCCCTGAATCTGTTACAAATGTAGTAATTTTCCTTGATTCTTCTTCTAGTTCTATTTGGTGGTATGCCTTTTTAACGTCTAGCGTCGTGAACAAGTTATTGCCTTTAATTACGTCTAAAATGTCTTCAAATACAGGTAACGGATATCGTTCCCGGATAATTGCTTCGTTCGCCCGTCGCATGTCCACACACAACCTTATCTCACCGTTTTTCTTTACTATGGGAACTACTGGGGAGACCCATTCTGTAGGGCCTTCAACTCTTTCTATTATATCCTGAGCTATCAGTGCTTCTATTTGTCTTTCCACTTTCTCGCGCAATTTAAATGGAATCCTTCTAACCGGCTGTGCAATAGGTGTGTATGTCTTATTAATTGGTAATGTTAATTGAAATCTTTTAATTTACCCATGCCTCTAAAAATTGAATCTTGTTCACTTTCAAAATTATTAATATTACGTATTTCCGGTCCTATCCGCAAAACTCCTAGCTTAGTAGCCGTTTCAAAACCTAACAGCGCTCTTCCGTTACCTTTTAAAACTAAGAATGTCGCTCGAGTTTTCTTATTTTCCACCTCAACCTCGCAATGAAATTCCCCTATCAATTTTAAAGCTTTTTCTTGTCCGTATGCGTATATCTTTTTATCGCCCGCTTTTTCCGATTTACATTTAATATTCCGCGATTTACACCATCTCCATGTTTCTTCGTCAATTATATTACACGACGCGCCTGAGTCTATTAATAGATTTAAATTGACCCCTCCCACCGCCGCGTCGATACATTTACCCTCCACGGCGTGGATTTCTTCTCTCCTCAGGCCAAACGCGTGCTCCCTTCCTTCTTCTTCTTCTTCTGTCCTCTCGTCGAGCCGTCGAACCCTTTTTTTCTGTCCGTTTTTTTTGTAGTTGTTGTCAGTTGTCTCCATCCTTGTCTTGCAAACCCTCGCGAAATGTCCTTGTTTTCCACATTTACTGCAGGTCTTCTCTCTCGCTGGGCATTTCTCGTTTGTATATTTGTGTCCTTTATATCCGCACCGATAACATTCGACGCTATTTGTTGTCTTCGTCACTCCCGTCTTCACCTGTTTTTTTCTGTCTGTTATGCGAGCCACCGCTTCACCTTCTATGTCCTTCGTCTGCAGCGAGACGGCTTCCATTGTTTTTGCAATCTCCAGTACTTCGTTCAGTTTAACCTCGCATTTTTCTAATAAACGTCTGCGTAATTTTGTTGAATGGCACTTTTCGATCACTTGACCACAGATTTCTGTATCTGCGTCCTCAAAATTGCAGTTCTTCGCTTGCTGTCGCAATCTTGAAACATATTGTACCATCGTTTCCCCGGTACCTTGAGACAGATTTCTGAAAATGTGTCTCTCATAAGTCGTATTCATTCTCGGTTTGAAGTACTCTTCCAATACTTGCACGGCTTTGGTGTATTGCGATTCTCCTTCCACAACCACTTCCGCATCCGGTATCGCGTAGAAAATGTCTTGTACATCGAATCCTGCATAATGTAGCAGCATTGCTTTCTTTCTCTCGTCGTCTTCTATTCTTTTGCTCACCAGGAACAGCTTGAACGCCCTCAACCAACGTGTCCATCTTTGGTATACGTTTCCCGTTTCTGTGTTCGGGTCGAATGTCGGCAGATTTGTCGTTTCCATGTTCTTCTTAGACTTAATCCTCTTTGTCTCAACTCTCTTCTCCTTTTTTTTTTTTTTTTTGACTTATCCTCGTCGCCAAATGTAGTATCCTTTTATATAGGTATATGTACGTCTTTATTGCTTACTCTTACACGATATAATACAGAGAGAGTTATATGCTTTTGCGCGTGTCCGTCTCGTAGCCATGCTAGCTTACTTCTGCCGCGTGTACCTCTACGCGTGCGCCTTACGCTTCTCGCTCAGTAGCGTATCTATACACTACACTGACGATTATCACGCGTTAACGCCTGGTCATTTCTTGATCGGTACCTCTCTTCTCGCTCCCGCCGAACCAAGCGTGCTTGAATTTAACGAGAATCGATTGTCGCGTTGGCAAATGATTCAACGTCTGACGGAAGAGTTTTGGCGGTCCTGGTCAAGCGATTACTTGCATTCTCTTCAACAACGCCCAAAATGGCGCGTTATCCAGCGACTTGCCAAAGTTGGCCAAATAGTCCTAGTGCGTAATCTCTTGGCTCCGCCCAGCCATTGGGACCTTGGACAAATTGTCGCCTGTCATCCAGGAGAAGATGGCCTGACGCGCGTTGTCACGGTCAAAACCTCCCGTTCTGAATATAAACGACCGATCGTGAAACTATGCTTCTTGCCTGTTGCGATTAATACCGAAGAAGTAAAAGATTCCGTTAGGCGGGCGGAATCTCGTCTTAATATGCGCTAACACCCCGTTCTTTGTTATTGAAGTATCTACGAGATACTGATATTCTTTGTACAGCGTTTATTCCATTATGTCTTTTATTATTGTTAAACCATTTGTACTTTTTCGAATGCCTACATTCGAGGCGGGCGGTATGTTCAGGAATAAGCCTAATCCTAAAGTATAGGTCGTTCAATTCTCCGTTTATATTATCGTTCGACATCTCAGTAATTATTCGCGCCAACGCGGGACAACACGTCAAAAACACATGTGATCCACGTGTTACTCGCCTGTCTTTTCCTTTGCTCGACGCGAATCGCCTGCGCAAATCCCAAAATTCTCGCTTCGCGCCTTGGCTACGTGTCTCGGATCATTATTGAGCGTCCAGCCACGAGACGAGATAGATCGATACACCTTTTGTTGAAATATCGTCCGCCTCGTTTCTAACACTCTTATTATAATTTGTGATTTGAATAAAAGTATATTAAAACGAATCCGCGAGTGACCATTAACGAAAATTACCGCCTTGGCGTGCGAACCTTCTATACAAGGTTTTACCAACGAGAAACAAAACAAATACAAATTCGGGTAAAGAATTCTTAATAAAAGTATAGGAGCCCTTTATACCCGAATTTATATTTGTATATCAGTCTATTATTTTAAAAATTTTATTATTTTAAAATAATTCCTATTTTTAATATTTAATATTCCTAATATTTTCTCTATTATAACAGGGACTTCAAAATTTTATCATCGCACCTGCTGCAACTTCGCTTATGATTTCCTTTTTCTTATTTTTTGGAATATATTGGATTGGAGGTTTTTGAAAATTCTTTTGAACATCTATAAGAAAATATGTGAATATATTAAATAACAAACATTATTATTAAATATAATATATATATATATATATATATATATATATATATTATATGTTGATTTCGAGAACCGATTAATATTCTAAATATTATTATTATTAAAGTATAATTAGTTAGTGAATATTTTTAATGATTTACTATATGAGAGTTTAGACCTTTTTCTGAATCTTCATCAGATTCTTTATCTTCATCTTCGTCTTGATGAGGAAAACTATTACTTTTTATAGATTTTAGAAGTTTTTCATTTTTAACATCTATAAAAAATATTATAAAATAGTATTAATTAAAATGTAAATATTTAGAAGAGAAAAATATTAAAAAATACAATTTTTATTAATTTATAAATTTAAAATGAATTTAAATGCTTACATGATTTCTGATTTTCTTCGTCAGAAGAATAAAGACGGCGCGGTTTATTGATCGCACGTTTTACAGAAAGTGGCTTATTATTGTTAGTTACTTTAACTGTTGCAAGTGCTTGCAATGCATCTTCATCATTAGTCGAAATATCAACAGCTTGGATTTCAATATCTCTGGCTTCATTATATGTAGCTTCAAAATAATATAAAGAATACAATAAAAATATTTGAATATAAAATAATTGATATTAAATTAACATTAAACTTACCAAATGGTCCTATAAATCTAGTATAATGAATCGTATCCCAATCTTCTTTTGGTATATTGCTTTAATGCATAAATGAGTCGGATTTTTAGGTTTGGGTGGCCATTTGAAAATTTGGATTCCATAAATAACCAACAACTTGGTATCGTAGCACTCCATTCTATCCAAAATACAACAAAATACATTTCTGAAATTAAAAATGTTTCACTTTGAAAAAAATAATCTTGATTTATTCTAAAGTAAATTATTAATAATATCGCAATATATGTATATATAATTTTTTATCATCATGTTAACTGTGTTGTAAATAATAATTTAATCATATTAAATAAAAATAATTTCTATAAATATTAATCAAGCAGTGTTGAAGATATAGTTAGAAATTTTTACTTATATAAATATTTATAAATTGAAATTATAATTAATTAAATATATAATTGAAATTATATAATTAGAATGATTTTTAGAAAGTACTATATATAGCACTTAATTTTTGGAAGAAAACATATCTGAATAAATTACAATAATATGATTTTGAGAAAAAAAATTTTTATGTGTTAAGTATAATCTCAAATAAAAGTCTATTAAACTTACCTATATTACACACTTAACGTTTAATACCGATTTGAGGAAAAATTATGTTGCAACTCGTTACAGCTCGTAGAAGCACATACATAAAAATTATAAAAAATCCGGCTCTCTTTCCAATTTTGATAGCGATTATATGTTTGATGGTATACTCCGTATACACTCCGTCTAAACCGCAATTATGCGCAGATCTTCACGATATTATTTAATCACTAATATATTTAATCACTAATATATATATATATATATATATATTATTATATATACATATATATATGAAACACAGTTTGAAACCTTCAGCGATCGATACACACATAAATAGTTAAATACTTATATAAATATATTTATGATAATGTTATCATTTCTCTAAATATAATTTTTAATATTACTTTTTATATTTATATAAATTACATGTAATAGCTTTGTTATCATTTTAAAATCAATTTTTATTTTACAAAGACGAATTATATAATATAAACATAATATAAATTAGAAGTACTTTTATATGTTTGAGTAATTTTTTTACACGCATGAAATGGAATATGATTAATAAGAAAATAATCTTTTTGATTAGTTGTTAAAATATAAAGTATGTTTATAAATAAAGTTTATATCGATATATATGACAAAATAAAATCAGTAAAAGTATAATAGCTTTAAATTATTAATTATATATTTTCTATATTATGAATTGGAAATAAAATAATCGTTTTAATTATATGAATGTAGCAAAGGCAAGAAACAATATGATTTCTTATATGGGATACATACAGCTTTTCTGGTAACATTATTTGCATCAAAATTTGTTGAATGAGACCATTGATTCCCGATTACAATATCAAACTCCTTAGAATCAATAGGATAATTTGGAAATCCTATAGGATTTATCAATGATTCTCCAATTAAAATAGGATTGTCATTATTTAAACAAATATTTTTAACGCGTACAATAGTGTCATCTTGCAAATACACAAAACTGATCCGCTTTATTTATTGTTGATAGTGTAAATTTATTGTAATGTATAGTATTATATGAAGCAATACCAAGTTCCTCGGATTTTTTATTATTTTTACACATCACTTTAGGTTTCTCGAAAAAAATAATCTTTTTTTTTAAATTACATGCAACATGTTCTACAATTCGATTGTGTAGCTGTTGTAAAGGTTTTTCTGCTTTTTTAAGTTTTTTTTAATATTATATAAATAACTCTCAAATGAAAAAGCACTGAATGAATCGAGATGACCAAATTTTAAAACATCATCGGCTAAATGAATTAAATTGTGGGTATTATATATCAAAAAATTAGTACCAAACAATTCAATACATTTTTCCACAAAATAATTCAATAAATCTTTCGCATATTTATTATTTCTTTTGCAATCTGTTTCGTGACAAAGAATCCTGATTGCACAATGTAATGAAATAAAATGGATCAATATTTCTTTGGTAAATAATTTGTAGAGCAACTGGACCTACATACAATAAAAATAATCTTAATTCAGTCGCTTTCCATCGATCCAAATTTTCTAATTCACGAGTTTTTCTTGCAAATTCAGATGGAATCCATTTGGCTATTGTTTTTAAATTTGCAGATATCTTTGATCATTTTAGCAGAAAACTTTTGTTTATGAGAGCCATGTGTAAAAGTTTGTAAGATTTTTTTTACAACTCCGAGGCAAATCAGATGCATGTAATCAAGTGGGAATTGCGAAACCATCCCTAAACCTGTTTCTTCAAACGGTGATGTTCCAAAATGATGCTCTTCATCAATACGTTGGATAAAGTTTTCATCTATTCTTAAAGCCGCATTTGAATTCAAAAATAACATACGATGATTATTATAATTTCCCTCTTCTCTACATTTTCCACATCCAAAGTAACCATTGTGACTTTTTGTGCATGTAACAAAAGACCGTGCTGGACTGTCACAAATTACAGCTCTAATTGTAATTGTGAATTTTTGGTTGCAATAATAAAATCCACTCTGATGTAAAACGTTATATTCATCAATAAATTCTCTCAGAAATGTATTACAGGAATTAGGTTTCTCATTTCCATAAGCTCCAATTACAAATGGCTCAGCAATTTTTGGATACATTTCTCCCAGAATGGGATAAAGTTGACTTTTTGAACTTTTGGCTATTGGCAACCCATCAATATTTATATTTATCTGAATATTAGTAGATATTCTGTCGATATCAATAATTTTCAATTGATCAAGCAAGGCATTTTTTAAACCATAGTGAAAATACACCTGGTGGTACACTACGAATTATTGTTTGATTTTGGGGTTCCAAGTAAAGTTCGTGGATCTAAAGGCAAATTGCGTAATTCATCTAATTCTACATTTTTTAATATTTTTAGAAGAGCGCCGGTTGCTTCATGGGTTATACCATAACTACATACCCAACGTGCCATTACTTTATTAAAATTTTTAGATTTTTATTTTCAAAAAAATTATCTGTATTAATCTGAATTTCATCTATTGATGAGTCACTTAGAAAATCATTGTAATTATTTTTAATATCTATGCAATTTATTGATTCTTCTAAGACATGATTGATAGATTTTTTATCATCTTCCAACCAGTCATAAAGAGAAGAAGAAGAAGTAGAAGATTTATCATCTTGAAATTCGAAATTATTTATTGTTTCTCCTATTGTTTTGCCACATTTTATATTTTGCATGTTATTAATACTGAATTATTTCATTATTGTCCAAAGAATTACACATTTTTTTTAGGCGTCTATTTTTTTGGCTTTTAGATAAATGTTTAAATAATTTTTGTTTTAACATTTTAAAAATTGAAGGTGACCTTCACGTGACCTTCAAACAATTATCCAAGGTCAAATAAATGCCACTATAATCTTATGTCCCCTTTGAATAAGCCATACAATATTATTTCATCCGTGAGTTAAAATGGGACACCCTGAATATTTAATTGCAGTAATATTAATATACTTATTATGATTTTTCGAAATATAATAGATAATTAGTGACCCAATGAAAAATGATACTTAATTGTACTTGTAAATTTTTCTTTAAACTTGATTAATAAGTCCAACAAATTATTTCATGCACGTACACACACACCGCGTTGTTGTATTATTTTTAAGGTTATCTACACTACTACAGTGCGCATGCGCATTATATTACAAATTTATCACTTTCAAGATGACATTATGATGTCAATATGAAGAGATTTTAATAGACTTCCTACAAAAGATGTCTTTTAGATATCTTATGTAAGACACTTCTCAAACAAGATATCTTTTAGATCTCTTGATATGGACATCTTAATTATTTATCTAATAGATATTTTTTCATTCCTCAAAAAGTTACCTTTAAAAAGATATCTTAAAGAGATCTTTCTGACATATATGCTGTGTGGGAATATACTGTGAGAAATATTAAAAGTATATTCTAGAATATACGAAATAATATATTGCAAGAGATATTATAAAGATATTCTCAGTATCTTATGTATATTGCGTAGATTAACAGTATGTGTACAGAATATTCGAATGATATCATGTGCTGTGTGGGTATATAATATATATATATACGTGATATATATGTAATATAAATCATAAAATTTTAAATGC